TAATCATTTTCTTTTTTTTCACAAAGAATCCAATCATATTGATTTTAACACTTTCGTTTCACCATAATTTATACCAAACCAAAACTGCAATAGAAAATGGCCACATGGCTAATGTCAAAGTTCCAACATTTTAATTCAAAATTCACATATATTTATATTATCAATATAATAATATACTATAATAATTCATTTTAATTTTCGTTTACATATATTAATTATAAATATAATTATAATTGTACTTTGTAAAAAAAGTTTTAAGATAGGGTTTGCCAAAAGTGGGGTAATCATTGCAGACACCATTGAAAAACTAGCAAATCTCGAGCTATACAAGGCAGCCATGAAGATTAAAGGTGAAATTAGAGGCCCAAGTTACTATTTCAAGCGGCAAACTTTGCTTTTAGGTCAAATTTTGTTATTAGTCCTCATACAATAAATAAATTATAGAGGATTTTATTTTACGTAAGCTGCTCTCAACCTGGTGTTGGGGGTAGTTTACTATCTTACCTCCCCTCATCCCGTTACATATGGGAATAGGGTCAGCTAATTATTTTTATTTTATATTCTAATTCGGTCATTTTTAACTCTTAAATTTTAAAATTTAAAATTTTATTCCTAATCCAACTGATGCTTATTAAACTTTAAAATTCCACTATTAATTGATGTATTGTTCTTAAATTATAAATTAGTTGACCCTATTCTAATATGTAATGGGGTGAGGGGGAGGTAAGATAGTAGGCTACCCCCAACGGGTTGAGAGCAGCTTCCGTGAAAGACCTCCGGCAGTCAGAATTATGAATTGCCCACCAAGGGACTCGATCCCACGACCACAAGGTTAAGAGCCTTGCGCTCTACCAACTGAGCTGGACGGGCAATAAGTCTACTTTTTATACGTTTCTGTTATTGGTATTTATGAAGGCTTAGAACTGGGCTTGCTATCGTGGACTTCTGTGTAATATTCTCTTCACTTTTAAATTTAGTCGGGTCTTACGTTTCTGTCTATTTGCAGAGATTTTTTCGCAGGGATTTTTTTGCAGGGATTACTTCCCATTTCAAACGCGCATATAATATTAATGATATTTATGACTGCATATGAATACTGTTCAACTATGTATTTATGTATTTATTTATACATGCTTTGCAATTTATCTATATTTTTAATTTTCTGACTGCCGGAGGTCTTCCACGGAAGCTACTCTCAACCTGACGTTGGGGGCAGCCTACTACCCTATTTCCCCCTTACCCCATTGCATATGGGAATTGGATTTTGTTGTTGTTGTTGTTGGGGACTAACGAGAAATTAACCAAGTTTTTACTTTGAAAATGACTTTGTTTAAACACCTAATCCTTTGTCGGCATATTTAATCTATGAGCTGAAATTGAAGAATGGTTTTTCTAATTCAAGTTTTGTTTATAAACTCAAAAAGTTAAATTAAATTATAAATATATGTTTATCATTTATTCTCTAGATATAAAACTATTTAATTTTGTAAAAAATATAATCATTAAATGTAAACGAATAATTAGAACTGAAGAAAAAATAATGTTAATATATAAAATTTTAATTTCAATTTGATTTAGATTCATCCAATGATTATATTTTTATGAAATATTTTATAAATTATAATACATTATAATATTTTGTTTAAAATATTGAAAATGTGTCAAAGAGTGTTGGTAGAAGTGGTTGGGATTAAAGAATTTAAACTTGTAAGGTCAAGTTTGAATCTTACCACTGTCACTCTTGGTGGACAATCTGTAAATTCCTATGTAAATCCAATTAGGTATTAGATATGCACTGGCCCTAAACTGAGCAAGTCATTCATGACCTAAACTTTTTTACTATATATATATATATATATATATATATATATTGAAAATGTGAATGGAACTGTTATTATTATTATAAATTAATAATATATTAATTAACATATATAATGCCTAAATCCATTCAATAAATTATTTGATGGACCACCAAAGCGTTTTTCCTTGTAGTAAAATGGAAAAAGAAAAGTAAGATAAAAAGTAATTATTGTGGTAAATATTAGCAATGAGGACTTACTCATAGCATTAGAGTTGATGGGCTCATGCCAATAATCATCATGAATAAGCCCGATAGCACATACCATTAGATTTTGGAAAATAATGTAAAGTTAGGCAAAAAGAAATTAATCAATTAATCAATTAAGAGCATGCTTATTAATTACCACTCTTAATTCACATGCCTACTTATTGTAAAACTCCTTTATTTCTATGCCCCACATGATAAATAATTAATTAATTAATAATTAATATGTCAATTAAAATTATGATTATATTTATGGATTAGTCAAACTCAATTTGATTTTTTTTAAATTAATTTTTTAATTTTGAGTTATTTGAGGTAACTTCGATTTTTTATTCGAATTCCGAGTTCAATTTGAGTTTATAAAGTTTGATCAAAAGATGTCGTTTTGGTCTTTACCTAAATAATTTGATCATGTTATGATTTAATCATTGATTTTCTTATTCATTCATTTTAAGTTTATTTTGATTAAATTTGAAGCACGTACTTCTCAATCACTTAGAATACTTTTATAACTTCAATTCATATTTTTTTTCAATTTAGTTTAATTTAATCTTCTAACTACAACTCTTTACAAACTTATTCTTTCTATGAATTCATTAACTCCTCTATACTCGTGTCAATATTTTATCCACAAAATGTGTTCTTAAAAATATAACATTATAAATATATTTTATTATTTTAGAAGGTATCTGAATATGAATATATAAATGTGTGTGTATATATATATATATATCTTTTATATTATTAAATAAAATCATTTAAATTAAAATCAATCAACACCATAACATTATAAATAATTATACTTAAATTTAAATAAAACTTTAGACTAATATATATAATTTGATTTGAGTTAAATTCTATAAACTCGACTTAATTTTTTTTAAATAAAATTTAATTAATAAAATAATACTTATAAATTCAATCAACTGAAAAACCAATTGTCCCCAGTCCTCAAATTTCGCTGGACATGTGAGCTTACAACACATGGAACATCTAGGAGGGGGAAACCTCAAATTTCGGTGCCCATCGCCGTCCAACTTTTTACTGAAAAGAGTTTCTAGCTAAACTATAAGTGTTTTTCAATATGTCCACACCATTTTGTACAAAATCTTTCCTATGCATATCACCATCCCAATCTTAAACCATAAACTCTTTTATAAAAGAATTATTTAAAAATAAATTATTATCATATATTTAAAATTTAAAATGTTTACTGACAATCAGTTGGTCTAATGAGATGATGCATAAGATCTTTTAAGTAAGATTAGGAGTTCAAACCTAATGTTTGCGAATGAAAAAAACTGGATTAGTCGGTTAATATATTGAATATCAATAATTATACCCAACATTTAAAATGTTTTTATACATTTTTTTAATAACTTTAAATTTTATTTATATTTTTTTGAAACAAATGATAATTTCATTTTAAAAAAAATTAAGTCTCTTTGAATACAACAGTAGATAAACAAGAATCAAAGTAAAAGGAGATAGGAACGATCCGTATAAGTGGCGGATATAAAAATATTTTTTTAAGATGAACACATATGTATTAATAATATAAATTCTTCGTATAGAGCGGACACATAAAATTTTAAGGTGGGTATATTCGATAAAACATAAATTTAATATAAAAAATTCGAAATTTAAGATAAACACATGCTTACTTTAAATTATATATAGATTTACCACCTATCCGTCTCACGTGAAATTTTATTGTTCGATAATAATATAGATCTTTATATGCTTAAATATTAGATAAATTAAGATTTGTCTTCCTAAATTTTAAATTTAAATATTTAACGAAATTTATATTTCATTAATTTAACACTGTTGATGTTTAATCTTGATTCTGTCAGCTTGTTGTAGACTATCCTTAGAGATCTTTGCTGGCTGTTGTGACCTTTGAAGAATCGTGTTGGTTACTTTAAAGAGGCTTAGCAAGCACTAGTAGCACACTTAATTTGCATACCTCTTGATGCATCAATTATATTTAAATTAAATCGGATCATAATTTTTAATGAGAAATCAAATCATTTTTTATAGTAAAAATTTAAGTTTTTATTTTAAAGAATATTAAACTCTTTTATCACTTATCACAATAAATAAATATTCGTCCAATTAAAAGAAGATAAAAAAGAAACTTACTTCTCGAAATGTTTTCTTTGTTAAAGTGGGTTGAAATCATTAGATCGAGTAGCATGCTTAAATCTCACATCTTAGGAGTTTGTATATATATTAATCAATTAATTTAATTTAAATACCGTTCGAGATGAATATGGATCAATTAGGTTACATCGGACCAGATTTTAATGGACTTGAATCTAATTATGACATTCTACTCATCTATCTATCACCGACTTAAAATTTGATTGGTTTTTCGAGTAAAAATTTGCATCCGACTAGACATAGATATATAGATATATTATATTTTTATTAAATAAAATAATGACCTAACTAAAAAAATATTGAGAGAAAAATATTATTAAAATTATTTCTAAATTTATAAAAGATTCGGACCGAATTAAGTAGGGGGTTTTCACTCTAAACTCAAATTTATTTATTTTTTTAAATTTCTCAACCTTATAAATTCAAATCGAGTCAAAACTGATGGAATTGGTGTCTAATTTTTATACTTAAATATTATAAAAAATATTATAAAATGAAACTCTCAATAATATATTTTATTTACATTATCAAAATATAAAATTTTATTTTATATTTTACTGTATGAACCGATAATTAAAAGTTTTAATTTGTACATGTGTGAATTTATTCATTTAGTAAACCCCACCGAATTAATCATACAAGTGGGCCCAAACTAAAATATATATATATTGTACATTTCACAATTCCTTATAAATTACACATGAAAATTGCCACTAATTTCCACCCCAAATTCCCTTTGGACCAACCCCCCACTACCATAAATTACAAGGGGAACTCCACCATACTTTGCATCAAACATCACGAGTCCATACACACACAAAGCTCACCTACACTCAAACACAAACCGGAATAGAAGAATGAAGACACCATACACGGCAGTGTTCGCGGCGGCCGCAGTGGTGGTGCTCCTACTGCTGACCGAAGCGGAGCTGTCGAGGGCGGCGACATGCAACCCGGCGCAGCTAAGCCCTTGCGTGAGTGCCATAACATCATCATCTCCACCGTCCAAGCTGTGCTGCACCAAGATCAAGGAACAGAAGCCTTGCCTCTGCCAATACCTTAGGAACCCCAACCTTAAGAAATTCGTCAACACACCAAATGCCAGGAAAGTTGCCTCCACCTGTGGGACTCCCTACCCAAAGTGCTGAAAAACCTTTAGTTTTCACCTCTCTGCACAATATGAATGTGAAGAGAGGGAAAGTGGTTTTATTATAGCTGTGGTGTGGGATTATCTTTGTTTTGATGTCTGTAGTAAGAGCACTAAGTTTATATAGCCTCTGTCATTGTCACATTTCACCACTTTGTTTACTGTTTCCGTGTGATCTATCTGAGATATTCTACCAGTTGTTGCAGAAGTAATCTTATTTAATGGAAATCAGTGTTGGATTATTACTCTCTTTTTTTTAAAGATCCTATTGACATTTGATAAAAATCAGATAGGTATCAAATCGGTTAGACCAGGGAAGAACTGAATGGGGCGGTTGGAGGCAATCCTCCAACCATTTGCACAACTTTTGATTTTATCCCACCAAATCAACCGAGTTAACCAACAATTCTAGGTTCAAAATCCGATTCGTTTCTGACAACTATGCATATAATAACATGATCTTAAGTTGTTCAGTGCGTACAAGTCTTTCAAAGTTTTGTTCCAGATTGGAATGACAAGAAACAGTGTCAACATTTTGAAAGAGTTATGAGTATCAAAAAAGACAATTTTAGATTATGCTCTTACCACATGGTCTGATGGATCGACCGGGTCGTGACACTTTCTATGTTGCAATGGACCTTAACAAAAACAGAGCCAAGAACCAGCATAACATTTCTGATGGAATGGAAGGGGAAAGGACAAAGATTTCACCAAATGAACCAAAATTCCTTTGTTGAAACATGAAGAGTACAAAGAATAACTCAAACAATACACAACGACAGAGTGCTCGAAATGCCAGGCACCATAATGGATGAAAATGAAGTAGAACATTGGAGAAAGGACTCCAAAATTCATTCACATTTACATAAAGGAGAAAAGTAATTACAAACAAAAAAGAGTTTGTCTTATAAATTAAGAAGGTTTGAAATTTGATTCCACCCTACCATCCAGGGCTTCTTATCAGCTGGTAACGCAAAATTGAGCTCAAACATCTCCTTTGATAAGTTGTCACTTTCACAAAACCCTACAAGCTTTGCCACTATCTGAGCACTCTCCTCTATGTGTTTGGGATCATGAGGATCCGTCCATAGCTTGTTTATGAACTGAAGCCTTCTCTGCTTTCCATCCAGTGGTACGTTCCATTTAATGTACAATGCGTCTCTCTCATCGAAACTCAAACGTGTCGTCAATCTCTTTGCGAGAAATTCCCTTTCACGCTTCAGCACCCTGATACTGTAAGAAAACAGACAAAATCCAAGCAGAGTAAGATAACGTAATCGACTGGAAGCAACAAGAGATGTGCATGCTGACATAAGAGAATGAATGAGAGAACCTTGATGATAATGACACTGTGGGCTCATCTCCTGTTACTGCTGGGCTTGCATTTCCAAGTTCAGCAAAATGCTGCTGCAGCCAATTTAAGCGCCTAAGCTCCACTTCCATGTATATTTGGTCGGCAGGATCCCCCTTGAATAACAGATAAAACTGTGTCCTATGGATGATGGAGACATAGCAGACATCCCATAACTCAATGATCTGCTGCCTTTGCTCCCTGAATGTTACATGCCATGCAACTTGGGGTTCCTCTGGTTCAATTGCACTCTCATCATCATCCACATTGTATCCGGATGCTTCATTTGCTTCCAGCTCAAGCACCTAAAAGCAAGTAAAAAACTAAATAAATTCACTATAAATGGAAGAAAAAAATGGAAGTTAAATCATTTAGTAAGAGCAAAGGCAATTATTTTACCTGACAAACAAGAAGCTGCTTCTGGTATTGCAGTTTAGCAACACGCTCTTTCAATTCTGTTACATATGCTTGTATACTTCGTACATTCTCTTCAGCTGCATTTTGAAACATCTTCTGCATTTTCTTCATGTTGACTGAACTTGAACGTCTATATCCTGGTGTGCCAGATGAGACATCTCCACCCTCTTCACTCTTCACAGGTGTTCCTTTCTTGGACTCAGCGTTAATCTCTTTCAAGACTACATCTTCTGGAGGTTTATTTTCTTCATTCTCAGGCTCCACAACTTGCTGAGTTGTTGATAGAGGTAAGCATGGAGACTTTAGAAAATTTTGCCGGTTTGCAACATGACTAGAAGTTAAAGGAAGCAGCTTCTTCTTTTTAGACTGATTCTTAGTTTTGGGGGTTGCTTCACAGTTGGATTCTTGATTACTTGGAAGAGACATCACCAGTTTGTCTATCGACTTCTGAACATTCTCTAATTGCTCCTCGAGGTTAGCTATTGTACTACCTTGTGAATGAAGTCTTGTAATCTCTTCCTTGAGATTAGCACCAACACTTTTGTTAGGAGCTATAGCAGTTCCAACTTCAACCTCCTTAGGGATTGACCGGACAGATTGCATCTCCCTTATTTCTGCCTGAAGCTTGGCAATTGTCTCAGCTGCATCTTGATTGCCTAGTCTATGACAAGCCACTTCTTTCTGAAGTACTTCTAAAGCACGATTTGCTTCCTCTCCTAGCTGCTCTTGGAGGTGTTCAAGTTTACGAATTTCATGCATAAGTGTGAATGGAGCAGTTGATGATTGTCTCATAGACTGCCTTAACAACATAGTTTTTCTTGTCTTATCATTACGGCCTAGATCCTTCTCATCAAGTTTTGGAGATAGCACATCAGAGTATGAAAGGCACTTCTTCACAGATGGATTTGATGATTCAAATGGATTAGAAATCTGAAAATAAACACATAAAAGAAAATCGAACTTAGTCTAAATATTAAGAGAATGGAACATGGAAGAGATAAGAAGCAATAGTGAGGGAACCTGCTGATCTTCTTGAAGTTTTTTGCGTAACTCATCCACCTGGGACTGTGCCAGATCTCTTTGGCGCTTTAGTTCTTCAATCTCCATTTCCATCTATAAAGCAAAAACAAGAAATGTAATTACTTATGCTTCAATATAAAGTATGAAACAAATTGACTCAAGATGAAGTCGATCTCGAATAGCTTATTCGAAATGTCATTACTTGTTGTATTTTCAAATCTTTCTCCCTTGAAGGATCAGGGGTGCGAAGCTCAGCTTCCAGTCTGGCTACTTCTTTCTGCAGATGCTTGACAAGTTGCTTATTCGAAACAACCTAACAAGGTTTGCAGAAAAAAATAATGTCAGTTCATATGGAAATCCTTGTCAATCTCGTATGGCAGGAATGAAAAAAATAAGTACCATATTCACTTGTGCATTATTTGTCACTTCCTTAGCCCGGGTAGCGAAGAAGAGAGTATTACGAGATTGTTCAAAGTGACTTAGAGCTGGACTTAAAGTACATATAATGGCAGTACGTGCATTTCCACCTAGTGAGTGCTGCAATATTCGAGTAAGCTTTGAATCCCTATATGGTATATGACCACTTCTTTTTCCAACACTGCAAAGAGATATCAGTCAGTCATGAACAAAATGATAATAGAACTTAAAATAAGTGTTGATGTAGCCGATACCAAATGCTAAAATATGTATTGATTTTAAGTTCATTTCATTATTTTCTGCCACTTCATTATATTTGAAGTTGATCAGAACAAGTATGCTAATATAGACTCTGACCTGAGTTTTCTGATTACAGATGTCAGAGTCATCAAACTAAGGTTAATATGACAGCCTTCCCTGAGCCTTGCACCATCAGCATTTGTTTGTGAAGCTCTTTCACTTCCAGCTAGATCCACAAAGTTCTGCACGTGTGGTCCCAACATATTGTCATCAAAACAGTAATTCATACATCATTTTTGGTTATATTTGGATAAGACTTGGTGATGTTGCCTTGACCAGGAATCTAGCAACTAGTAAAGAAAATGTGTACAGATCATAGAAGGGATAAGATCATTCTTACCAGGCTTGCAACAAATGATCTCACACAATCAGAATTTTCACGCAGAGTACTCTCAATTGTCTACATTGTTAGCCACACAAATCTATGAATTAGCTTCCATTAGGAATGAAGTATGCTAAAAAACCAACAGAAATCCTAATTCATACCAGCCTTATTATTTGGTGTGACCTTGAGCTACAATCATTTAGGGCAGTTTCTCCAACTTGTCTTTGAGCTACAAATTCCAGCAAAAGAAAAATTAGATTCACATTTAAGAAAGGGAAAAAGTCTGCTACTAACTCAAAGTAATTAATTCATTAATTACCTTCACAAATGCTTATTAGATGCCTTAGATGCTTATCATTGCTGGCTGTTTCTTCCACCAACTTCTCAACCATGGTACCTTTCTGCAAGCCGAGATTAATCAGACAACAAATTAGTTATTGACAGGAGGAGGATTGAAAGCATAGGTATTTAGGTACAGCCATTACCTCTGGATCATCTAGAAGCTTGAGATTGCGGCCAGATTCAGAATTTAACAGGTCCCGAACATTCTCATTATAAATTTCTAATCCCGAAATTTTAATGGTGAAATCTCTCTCTGGTGTCTGCAACAATTTCAAATAGAGAACAAAACATTTAAGAAGCGCACCCAACTACTTGTACAAAATTCAAATTCCAAACCAAACAATGGGCAACAAGAAAAAAATAGTTAAGTAGGCTTCAACGGAAGCTGAGTCTCACATTCATTATATGCTGGTAGATGTCATTGACAGCCTTCTCTGTTATTCCTCTCATTGTGTATGTCTTCCCACTGCTGGTTTGGCCATACGCAAATATAGTAGCTGTGCCAGGAATTACATAATTTCATGTATTCAATAAAGGGAACAAACAATTAATAAACAGACATTAAAATAGTAATAGCTAGAAAAGATAACACAACGAAATACCATTTATGCCTCCCAAAGCAGACAAAGCAACATTCTTCACTCCTTCATACACCGTTTCATTTACACATGAAGGTCCAAACACTTTATCTGAGCAAACAAAATAAAAGAACCCCAAACATCAAATTTCCATGAAACTTAAAGCCAACACGCAAGTAGCATGCAGTTAAAAGTTACCAAATGTGAAAGAAGATGGTTGAGCGGTGCGTTCTTGAGAAGGATGCTTAGAAACAATGGTGTGATCATCGACACACTCCCATGCTACTTGATCTTTGGCCAGTTGCTCCCTTTTACTTAAAGGCCTTAACCTTACAGTAACAATGATCTTCTCTTCCTTTGGTTTTGGCCTCCAGGTGTTGTTACTGGTGTTTTGTCTATCTTATTGCCTGGGGTTCCTGGAGTTCTAGCTGTCATCTTCTCCATAGTTCCTTTCTGTCTTTCAGATTTGAAAACCACCAAAAGTTTTGCAGCCAGAACC